CCCCCATGGCTGGTCCCCTATTTAGTGCTTGTGTAATACTTGACGCACTGGGAGTGAACTCCATTATCGGTCTGGCTTGTTTTCTTCGTTCCATCCCTCTCTCTTAGGCTTGCGTTGCTTGTACATATTGCACGGGGGACCAGAATCTCCCACAGGCCTTCGGCTCCAGGCAAAGAGGTGATTTCTCTCTCTCTGAAACAACGCAGCGTGGAACTTTTGCATCACTGGCTACTCTTGTGATTAAAAGTTGCTGCCGTCTCTGGAGCCCTGAGACTTGCGCGGTGTGGGTGTGAGACCGAAAGAGCGTGTGTTTACACCTATTTGCATCCGTTCCCAGAAAAAGGAAAAAGCTGAGATTTCCGACGCAATTATGCGTTTCAACACCCTGTGGAAGCAGCCCTTTAACACAGGGCTCCTTCTCTCAGACGACAGGACGGTGCACTTTTCGGAACAAATTTCCTGGGCTCACCTGGCTTGGACTGGAGCCCCTGCCAGACATGTGGAAGCACATTAAACACGGGATCAGACATCTCCACATGGAGATGTGAAAGGCAATGCCTGAGCTCCTGCAGGATTTAACTTGCCGGCATGAAACTATGGGGAGCTCCTCACATTGACTTTAACAGGATTTAGCGAGATGAAAGGCTACACTGAAAAAAGGGAGAGGCGCAAAGAAGGAGGGAGTTCAGAGTGAGAGAGGGGAGAGAGAGAGGGAGAGACCAAGGCAAATAACAGAAGAATTAGAAGGAAAAACACATAGGGGAAATGGTGATATGACAAAAGGTTGGGAGGACTTTTTTTAAAGGACACTTTCGACAAAACACTTTCGCTATAAATGACAAACTAACCAGTGGTGAATGTCATCAGCTGCGTTTGAAAAGCGGGAGCAGAGGTGTGCTCCCTGTAGAAGGGGAGATGGGCTCAGGGGTGACACGGAAAGAGGCTGGGAAAGTGGCTAAAGGGGGAGCGCAGGTGAGTTAAACCAGACTCACTGAGCTGGAGAGAAGTTAAATTGTATGTAGTTTTCTTTGAGGGCAATGGGGGATGGAGCACATAATGCTACACAGAGACGGAGAAATCGGAACATAAGACTTGAGATTGCACACAGGTGCACACACACAGGTGAAACAGCCTCCAAGCTCAGATCACACACACACATGCACACACACACGGATATCTGTGGGAGCTGGAAGATGCATCGTGATCTGCAGTGAGATTACACAACAACACAAACAGCGGCATATGAAAACTCCCCCGTATTTGCCTGGGAGGTGGGTCACCTGGATGAACTAATGCTAATGTGCCAATCTGTGTCTTCTCCACCTCAGAGCAGAGTCTCCAAAGTTTGCATGCCTACTTCACCTAATACAGCACACTGCTGGCGAAAAAAAAAAACTAACAAAAAACACCCACTGGAGTTTTGCTGCAAGCCTACAGGTAATAAACCAGTAAAACCTTCATGCACGAGATGCATGAACAGGCAAGTGAAGTATGAGGACATCACTAATTGAGGGGGGGATTAAGATTTGATTAAATCCATAACATGAGGGGGGAAAAAAACAGATGAAGGGCTGCCTCAGTAAGGCATTTGTCTTCATGAATTTGCCCCCGTTCATCTCAATTTTGTGTTGGTGAACAGTAGTGGGAGGCTGAACACTCACCGGGGAGACGTGACTGACTCCACACCCAGCGTCGGAAGAACTAAATGTTAAGGGGGTTGATTGACATTGGCATTTTTTTTATTTCAGATTCTGTAAAAAAAATAAAAAAATAAAAACAATAAAAAGGAAAGAGAGACATAGATAAACAAAACAGATGATGGGGAAAAATTAATGAAGTGCCTGCTCCTCGTTCAAACACACACACACACACTAACCAATGTATGTAGTCGTACAGTAAAGACTTTCCATTCAGCAGCGTTTGGTTATGTGCTGATCATACTTTTAATTCTGAAATCGGTACGATGAAAGTTTGGCCTTTTATCCTTTTATTTAGAAATTAATTTATGATCTTCATGGCTTGAATAGAAGGTGAGCTGGATGTGGTAATTAAAGGAGAAAATTACACTTTATTCATGAGGAGGATCTGAATCACGTAATAGCAAAGGACAACTGCAGTGACAAATAACAGTTTTGTATGGAGGCAAACGGCATGTTTAAGAGAAATTTCATCATTTATTATATCCTTAAAAGAATAGAGAAAAAAAGATGACAAAAAACTGCCTTAAGCCCTGAGAATAAAATGAATGTTGAGTTGGCCCAAACATCTATCTGCCACGTCCTCCATGGCGCTGGCACAGAGCAATAACGAGGTTATTTTGGCTGTTGGTATTGCTGCCTGCTCCTACTTTTTGCCTACAGGTGATCTAAGGGAAACCTCAATAAATTCAGCCATTCTGTCAACAAACTGTTCCATACGTGGATATGAAGAAAGTGGAGCTATTTATTTCAGCCCAGGAAATAAATAAATCTCTGCGTAAAGAGCCGGGGGCCTAAATTCAAACAAAGCTCGGTGGTCTAACAGACCCGGCTGAGTTACCCAACGCTTCACATATTTAAAAGGCACACACATTTTTTTCCTTCTTCTTTTCATTCAGACGTTCTTCGCTGTGTTCCCTCCTGACATACAGGATTCCTCATTTTTTTCGATTTCTCTTAACTTTCAGAAAATTACAATATTTAAGGTATATTTTTTGCTGTAAGGGGTAGATACAGAGGATCAGGCAAACAAGAAAAGGGATGCTTTGTCATCTCCAGCTCCATCTCTGTTACTCAGTGCCAGCGGTACACTCAGATGGCTTCCACTCCTCTCAGCACAATGAGGCTGAGACATCAAAGCTGAATCTGAGAGGTAGGCAGCAGGAGAAGCAGAGTGAGGGAGACAAGTAAAAGAGTGAGGTAGCGAAACTGAAAGACTACACTACCCGTCTTTTGTTGTGTTTTCTTTTGCTTTTGAACGTGCGGCATCATAACATTGACATGGTTGAGCCCAGTTGAGTCAAAATTGAAATCGAACTCGTAGATAATCTGATACTAAAGGGGAATAGCAGGAAAGCAGTAAGTATTATCTGCCTAGAAGAATAGGGAGCAGTAAGATGTGGAGAAAAAAACAAACATGGAAATTGGCAGCTAGCTATAATTGTGGAATCATTAAAATTCCCTCCACAGATCTGAGCAGGTTTCTTAGCTCTCATGCTTGAAATGCTAATGGTACTTCCAACCATATTTAATGTGAATTCCTATTTGATTTTTCCCCCACCGTTAGGGAGGAGCCTGTTGTTGCTATTTCCATACACAACAGCAGGAGGGACAGGCAGCGGGCTTACTCCCCCATCTGCATTTGGAGCAGCCTAGGAAGAGGAGAAGACGAGAAAGAGGAGGACCAGAAGGCACATATTTTGCTCCTTGGATTTAGTCTTTGTAGATATCAGTCATGTTCTAAAGGGTGTCATAATAATAATATTAATAATCATAATAATAACAATAATATGGAAAAGAATGGAGATGACCCCTTATTACAGAGTTGAGTTTCACTTATCCCTGTTAACTGCATTTCTTTTTCTATACTCTCAGTTTATTTCCCTCTGCACTTTACTGGTTTTAATTCATGAGGCCAAATCGATCAAACTTTGGATATCTGAGTCGGGCAATGTCTCACCTGCTGGAGTGTTAAAGCTAGCATATTTCCTGCATTCACCTTCAGAGGTGTGCAACACCGGTGTGATCTGAAAAATGCTTCTAGGAAAAAAAGAAAATCTTCTGCAGATACTTTTAACTGCAAGTTGAAATGAAATTTTATATTAAAGGAGTTTCTATTTAAAGAGCGTACCATATAACAATGTTTCTAGGTGGCAGTACCATGCATGTTTTTCTTTATCATAGTGAGATTACAAATACTACCAAGCCCTGAAAGTGATAAAAGTCCCCAAAAAAGAGACCAAAAACCAAACATATTTGTCTCTCCTCAGTGAAGGCCTCAACTCAGCCTCATGTCGGCAAACAATGTGGACTTCAATCTGCGTTCAGATGTATCGTGAAAACAGTCTTCTGTCTAAACTGAAAATGAAATGATCTAGAAATCATGTTGCACAAAGGTTTAGCTGCTAACCCAAACCATGCTGTGCCATGTGTGCAATCTTTATCCCTTTCTAACAGAATAATAAAACTTCAGGAAAACCTTCAAAGCATTTTGATTCGGTAATAGTTGCCAGAGGTGGTTGTGTGAAACGCGGTCCTCAGAGGATTTTCGGGCGAGTCAAAGAAACATGTGTTGCTGTAATATAAGGTTTAAGAAAAAAAGCTGGTTTATGGACTCGGTTTCCATGTAGCTTTACTTTGCATTCCAGGCAACAAGGAATGCCAGATTCGCCGAGACAGACCACGGATCGGTGTGGGGATGTAAAAGTGACAGCAGTGAGGGAATTAGAGATGTGACTGTCAACTCCGAATCTGCACTGTGGTATAGTAACAAGGCTCACGTTGTTTAGTCGGGAGTTATCAGCTCTCTGAACATAGAGTACAATCGTTTGTTCAACACCCCGAGCTGCCACTCACTCAGAGCCCAGAATCTCCTGAGCATGTCGGCTATGCGTTTACATGTGCGCGAGCATGTTCACCAGAGCAAAAACCCAAAATTACAGCGGAGGACCGATTTATCAAGCAAAAGCGCTGCGATGATGGCATGTAACGACACAGACGCCGTAGTCTGTTTCTCTCACCCAAACACGGCCATATGCCAAAGCCTCCAGCCTAATGAGCACCCGCCTCTCAGTGACAAGCCGCTTACCAAACAGATAGAGCCTCACGAAGGTGCCATGACAACATATAGGAGAAATATGGAAAAGAAAAACACCTCGGCAACTGCTAGGCTCCGCGTATTTTACCTTTAAGGCAATCCTTTAACGGATGGATCTTGTTTTGTTCACACGATGAATTGTTAAAGTCAATCTGTGCGAGATAAAGGGAAGCAAACACATTTATTTTTCATGATTCAGTTCCTACCTTTGGGTCAGCCGTGAGCAGCTTGAAAGCCTCGTACACCTGCCGCTCTTTCACTCCTCCGCCCAGGTCCAGGAAATTAGCGGGTTTTCCTCCATGCAGATCAATGATGTCACACGTGGCCATGGCCAGACCGGCTCCGTTTACTATAAAAATAAACAAGGGCTCATAAACAAGAGCAGCACTTTTAGTGTTATAGATGTTCAGAATCAATGTCAATTGCACAATAACCTGATTATGACCTAGACTACACATCATCTATTAAATACTGTTTGTCTCATTTTCTCAGGCTAAGGATGAGAAACTGAAAAAAAAAGAGTACCTGAGTGGAAAGTGTGATGCCATTAAAAATGTGTCATTTGTGAAACTAGCTCCGAGGACAATGTTTGCGAGAACACCTTTAAAGGAATCTCAGGCTTCAAAAAGTGAAACTGTTGGAACGACTGGAAATCTAATCAGAAGTGTCAAGTATTAACATAAAAAAAAGAAGAAGAACTGTTGATAAGAGAGTTTCAGCCATGCTGTTTTGGGGGACGTTTTCATAATTTAACCAACCGCCAGGTTTGCGCCCCTGCTGAGTTGTGCGGGAGCCAAGTGCACAGGAACGTCTTACCTCATTTGGTTTAGCTAAGCTGAACTCGTGTCCTGGCAAGCATCCCAACTGAGGACTCAATAAAAGGGAAATTTGCTTTAACAGCTGTCACTTTGGTGGCTTATAGAGCTCTCGCGGAAGCTGCAGGGTCTTAAAAGCCTTTGTGACTTTAAGAGACTGGAAGCTGAGGGATGTGGGATGTGGGATGGGGTATGAGCGTTGGCTTGGAGGGGGAGTAGCACTAACAGACATCTAATGTGTTTACGAGGCTACGGGCTAACGAAGGGGAGCACCTGTTAGTGCTGCTGTACACTGTAAAAGCTTTTGATTTATGACAAGAGAGGGGCGCTTTAATGAGAATGCTAACAATCTGGCTCGCTGGAGACTTTCTGGGAGGATTATGGCTAATTAGAACACATTGGTTATGGCAGCATTCATCCTGGAGTCTTCAGACAGCTGCTTGTAACGTGCACTGGAGGAGTGCCCACGCTGCCTTCACTCTAACTAAGTTTTAACTGCGTCCAAGCTTTTCACTTATGTGGCTTTAGAGACACGTTGTAGCCTGTGTGCGGGGGGGGGGGTTTACTCACGAGGACGAATTCACTTATTGGCTGGTGTGTGTGTGTGTGTGTGTGTGTGTGTGTGTGTGCAGGTGAAGGCGTTGGCGGCAGGGCTTTGTCCCCGTACCGAAGCAGGCGATGTTTCCATCCAGACCAATATATTTGAGGTCCCACTTGGCTGCCTCCATCTCTGTGGGGTCGCTCTCAGTCATGTCATCCATGGCAAACACGGCTTTCTGACGGAACTCGGCGTTGTCATCAAAATTGATCTTTGCATCAAAGCAAACCACTGGGGTATGGATGCCCACAAAAGGAGAGAAGACAGAATCAGGAATAGAGGCAGCATAAAAGACGAAATACAGATATGGCAGATATCTTCATTCAAACTTAAATTCATTAAAGGTCCCCTTAGCACTGGGGTGGTTATCTCTGGGGCCGATGCATTTTTCAGCTGTCAGGGTATTACAGTAAATTTATATTTCCTTTTTCTTTTTTTACAGGTAAGAGGACAGAATGAATTTCATAGATATAAAACCGCTTAAATATAAAATAGTCAAAGACTTAACTTAAATAGTGTATGGATAAAACATTTCTAACAAAGATTTCACAGAGATATTTGGGAAGTGAAATCATGGTGAATACAGCCAAAAGTTTAATGTGATGTTTTCTGTATGAGAACACAGCAAGAAAACAACCTGCTCTTATTGGGTCTCACAAATGTGCGCTTGAACAACGACATGTGACATATTTCACCGATTCATGATTTACTAATTAAAGCTAAATACACAGAAGCGGTGGCAAAAACCTCAACACACCATCTGAAAAAAGTTAAGTAGCCAGGCGATTCTGAAGTAAGTCAGTTCACTGGTCTGTGCCATTCAAAGGGTGTGTACAATGCAAAGGAGGAAAGCCATCAGCAAAAATCAATGTGTGAAGGGTTGTGAGGGCATTTTCAAACTGTTATTGCTCCATCAAAAAGACAAATAGATTATTTACATCTAGACAACATTCAAGACAACTGCCAATCTCCTTAGGAGTAGGTATTATAGCAAGATCACCACAAAGTTAGAGCTTACAATGCTTGAGAATCTTTCCTATTTTTTCCCCCAATACAAACCTTCAAATTGGAATAGGGCACACTTATATTTTCACATAACCTAAACTATACCATGTTTTCCTTTAAAGCAAACAGAGGGTAAAAAAAACATTTCTACATTGACCATTTCACTTTAAGATTGAAAGCTTCTCCTCAAATTGATTAAATTTTCTTCATGAGAGGCGCAAACTTACACAAACATTACATACAGCCAGAAAAACCCAGAAAAGAACGGTGAGAGGAGACTTTTTCATGTAAACTAGGCTGACGGCGGCACGGCTCACATTATTTTTTTCTTCAAACATCCATTATTGCAGTCCATTTACAAAATGAATTCAGATATTACCATAGCAAAAAAACACCCTTGAGAAATCCGCCTTTCTGATACATACATGGTGAATATGAACGCCTGCTTGAAAATAGCTGCGTTCCCCGGTGACGTGTGAACAAATCACGCCATTGAATGAGCCCAGATTCATGTGTAGCCAGATTTAAAAGCCCACCAGAATCACAGCCATCTAGTTGATAAAAAAGAAATGCATACCTCTAAAAATCCAGCCTTAGAAAGGAGTAGGTTTCCTCATTACTATTCATAAGTAGTCATGAATTAACAAACATATCTTCTCAATGTTTGATAACGCATACTCCCAACACCAGACATTCTTTATGCGTCAAAATAACATCAAAGAAGCTACGTGTCCTTAGCTCCATGTAAAACGTCCAGCACAGTCTATACGTGAGTAGATTAGCCACAGATCAGGCAATGGCTCTTACTTTTAGAGGAACAAAACTGGTTAAGCCCAAGTTCAACAAAAGGTATTGACTATGTCTCAGGTCATCTGAATGATCAGCACACGGAATATCAACTTCAACTTGTGTCATGTTGGGACTATTTTAGATCTGTTATTCTGCAAGGAATACAAAAAAACAGAAAACTGAGAGAAAATGATATTGGGCTTCTGCTGAGAGAATGCTTTTAAGCCGATCTATATGTGCAAAAAAGTTCGATGTGATGAGATGGTGGAGTAAAACAGTTGGACTGAAACGCTGTTTTACTGCGCTGCGAATACGCCTCTGTGTAAATACTGGATTACCCATACCCTTTAGAGGACACCACAACACAAATCCTTGGACATTTTTCTAAACAGGCCATCAGGGAGCGTTTCCGCTGGAAGGCATCAGGAGAAGCAGCAGGTCCGGTAATGTTTTTGTTGTGCCTCTTGCTGATAAAGCCAACATTTATGTACAGCTGTTTCTCACAGACTTAAAAGAATTACGCTGATGAGCTGAGAGTCTGCGTTTGGTCCGAACCTGCAATTTCTGCTTAAAGCGTAAAGCGGCATCCTAATCACAGCAACTCTATTTATTGATAAAAACGAAGTTTGCCAAGAACACCAACGGCACTGTTTTGGATTACCGCCAATGAGGATTCTTCCTATCAGGAGGAAAATCAACAATATTGCAGCACGGTGCACTGGGGACAACCTGCAGCAGAATAGCAACAAACCCACCAAGCTGAGGGTTTATTTCAGAGCACGCCTCCACCCTGGGAGGCTCAGAGACGACTGGCCTTCCCTAAACTAACATAATAAGGCTAAACCTTTGAGCCAGGTAATTGTAAACCTCAGCAGAGTGGCGACCCAATGAGAAAAATGGCACACTAATGTGCTCATTTCAAGGCCGGAAGGATGCGTAGCTCGAGATGAAAGCTGATCAGAACACGACCAACTAAGAATGAGTGACATAAGCCAGCTGAGGTCGCAGAAACTAACCCACCTCATGATCAAAATGAACGGACTGGGAATTCATCTTTCTTTAAATCTTTGTTTCATCATTCTTTTTGAGACAAGTAAATAGGTACCACTTGGTTTCTTTTCTTTAAGAAACCATTGCTTGAATTATCACAGAAACATGACTAATTCTTAGTAAATGTATTCAGCTTCTGATTATTTAATGTTCATTTCATCATCGGATTGAACATGTAATAGGCCACGCTTCACTTGTAAGAAGCCTACTCAGACCCTCTTTCACTTTTAATTAGCAATAATCTCCTTTTGATCCATTGAAGGGCACCATGCATTAAGTATGAGAAAGATTTCCATCTAGACAACACTTAGAAACTCTGCCTTTAGTTTTCAGTGAACTATAGACATTTTAAATATGATAACTGATTTCTGAATGGAGCCATAAATGCAGGAACTGAACATTTTATGACCGACATAGTACTTATAAGCCTTGCTTAGGGTTGAAAACGCAATTTTTTAAAGCTCACAAGACGAATAATATTTTCATATGAATGTCAATTTTAGACCATCCTTGATTTGTTATTCTTCATAGTGTGTGGGGTGCATTCGGGAGCAAATCGGTGCTGCTTCCATAATTTGTAACTTGTCATTGCTTTTGGATGACAGATTTTATGATTTAAGGTAATCACCTTTAAAAAGGAAACATTGACAAACATCAACACGGTGCGAGTATGAATAGCTCGACTCCCCAAATCCTTTTAGATATTGATCTGGACAAAGTCATGCTGAAAAGAGGCTGATGTCAGTGTGCTGCAATTACAGAAAACTGCACAGTTTTTAAAACGCATTCAGTCCTGAGGAGATAAAGCGCCTGCTTCTCCCAGTCGATATTTAGCTTGGTGGCTGCATCTTCAAACAGAAAGAAATGAGATGTTGAAATATTCAACGCGAAAAACGCAAAAGACAGAGGACAGTCAACACGGAGACAGACTCACACAGACACACAAAGACATGCATTTTCAATGAGAGGTGGTACCTTGTCCTTCGGGAGTCTCTCCGAGGGGATTGACTTCAACTTGAGTGGCGTCGACTTTCAGGAACAGATCATAGAGCCTCTTAATCTGATCTGCTGCCTGCAAGATCAACAGACGACAGTAATTACCTGAGTTTTTGACTCTGAGCGCCCAGCGCAACCAAGGCCACTCAGCCTCCCTCACAGGCTCCGTGAAAAAAAAAAAAGGCAAACCACATTCAACAGCACGCCGATTGAGCTGGTTTTGCATGCGTGCATTTATCTGCGAATGTCTGAGAAAATTCCATTTTCTACTTTCAAAAGGCGTGAAAAACAAAGCAAAACAGACAGGGACTATAACACACAGCATGACGCCTCGATGCAATACAGCGTACATATCAGATTATAACTAATATGTGTTCATTACATGTATATGTTTAAGTATAAGTTAAGTGTTTTCATTGAAATTACTTTTTTTTTTAATTAACAATGAATGACACTCTATAATGTAAAAAAAAGACCCAAAGCAAATAAGACACAGTACTTATGTTACCCCGTTAAATCAACATCACGATGTGAATTTTAAAAAAGGATTCAGGTTCATATCTAGTTCATAACCCTCCCCCCCAGAGAATCTGGATGTATACCATTTAAAGGAAGGGTGGGAACTGCTCTTTTTATCTGGGAGCATTTTCGCATGTACTTTTCTTTCAGTTAAATGAACCTAGAGTCAAATTATCTATCTATTTTTTCATCTATCCAACGGTTTTTTGTTGCTCCTGTCATCCCTTTTTGATCGGAGGTAAAATGACGATTCGATGGCCCATCTTCTAACTTAGAATGAGTTTAAACTATCTTTTTTTCCTTTTTGTGACAGGTTCAGTAGTTCCGTTTTCTGTTTGAATTAGCCTTCTTATCGGTTAAGGGTAAAGGAAGGCAAGATTATTATACAGCCCTTTGTGTGTTGGTCTCTGTGGTCGCTTTTCTTTAGTTCACTTATTCATTTTTATCAAGGAACCCCTTTTGTCTCTCTTTTGAGTTTTGCCATTGTTAGAATAATATATGCTTAGTTTCCTGTGTTGTAATCTGTATCATATTCATCCTTTATCACAATTAGGTGCGAGCAGAGTCATTAATAATATACTGCTACTTGGTAGTTGCAGTTGTGGCTCATTGATTTAAATCATGCACCTTAGTTTCATTAAAACACTTATTCAGAATAGAAAAGGGTATTTAAGACCACACTGACTTCTATCTGTGTCAAACAGTCTTTTAGCTGACTGATGGCGGCGGGCGGAAACTATTCTAACAAACCATTCCCTGTTTAGTTCTCCCCATGCCCGTATAAAAATCAATGACTTTTCAACAGCCTGCAAATGAAATGACACAGACAATGGAATTCAACCAAAGCCAACGCATCTTTAACTCAACTTTGTTTTTCAAACGGCCAAATTTATTTGGCTGATTTATACGTACTCCGTGTGCTAGAATTTCAAGCTAATCTGATTTCTCATGCTGAGGTGCCTGTGGAAAAGAAAACCAATTAGTGATCCGATGCTAAGAGGCAAAGAGGCTTAGTAATCAACTCATCCGAGCACAAATACCCTTTCGGATCAGGGAAACCTGGGGTGTCCTGGTGCTGCACTTTCCCCGTCTTATTTTATGAGCAAATGATGCCTGAACATAATTCATAATCAGGCCCACTGTCCTAAAACCCACAGCTTGCCACAGTGTGGTGAATCTAGCTTCTTACTGCGTGAAATCAATGTGTGGCAAGTTCTGTCAAATAATGGTGTCAGTGATGATGTGGGCTCTGGGAGCCTGACACGGTGCCAGTCACCGGTGCCAGCCTCAACAATGGACCACCTGACAAGTGAGCCTCATGTACTGACAATTCCTAACTAACAGCAGCCCAGAGCAGGGTGTGTTTGGAAATGGACTTGCATCTGCCTGAGTGTGTGGCTCCTCTTCACATTCGGACCCTTACGTCAGCGTGCCCATTACCTGTCGCTGCAGAGGTCCTTTGAAGCCCAGATTGGTGGCCATGCGTAGTGCCTGGTCATCTGTGACCCCTTCCAATATGTCGACGACTTCCTGTACGAGAAGCAATGAAAGTGAAGGAGAGGGGAAGGGAAACATGTCAAATGTGCTCTCCCCTAAACTAATATTTGTGTAAAACTGCATCGTGATTTCAGGTCAGATCCCAGATAGGCTTGATTTCCCAGACAGAAAGAAGCCAATTTAGTAAGTACTTTTTGTCATAGTTTCAGCCTCTATTCTTTACTTTATGACATCCACCATTTTTGGACATCTCTACCAATTCTTTTCCAACTTCCAGCTAGTGCCCTCGTGTTTTTTTTCTGACTGTACGTGCTGCATGAGGAGGGAGTGTGGAAAGTTACACTCGTGTTCCATCATCCTTTGCTTCACAATGACCAAAAAACAAAAAAAACACCAAAAAACTAAAGACTCTTTTATTCATTTACATTTCATTTTGATGACTGGAATTTCAATCATTTAAAATATTTTGAGAAGAATTTATTTATTTCATCATTATGTTTTCTTTTTTGATATGATGCATGTTATTCAAAGACATCATGGGCTGGGTCTGATGAGAAAATAGGGGTTCTATCTACACATTTGACAATAAGATGCTTTAAACCTCTTTTTGCAGGACCAAAAAAACAGCTAAGAGAAGCTAAATTTGTGCCCAAAGTGAACTGATGCTCCAAACCTTTTTTTAGACTCCACACTTAAGATGAGAGGGAGAAAGTCCCAACAGCGTTGTGGATATTAATAGCAATGGAAAAAAATCAGGCATTTGATATAATGCATTTTCACAACACTCTTTCTCCTGTGCCATTTTAGACAACAGTGGTCAGTGTTAAGGATTTATTCATATCAGATTATTTTAAAAGACAAAATGTGGAACATACTAATAATCAGAGAATAAAACGGAAAGCTTCTCTGTGCTCGGTCTGCTGAGCACATGCAGGCAGTACAACACAGCTAACTGGATACCAATAGAGTTCCACCGACATCTGTAGAGTTTATTAAAAACTTGGCATTACTCACAGCCAAATTAACATGATAATCTGTCAAAGTTAAACTAAACCTTTTAAGAAATGATAGTGAGGAATGCTTTTGTTCCCCAATTTGATCATACTTATTCCAAGTTATTTAAAAATATCCAATCAGTGAATCTTCTGTTAAACATTTAATGTTATAGTGATGAGTGTGAAGCTGAAATCATTTACCTTAAAGATGAGTTCTGGGGTGTTGGCAGCCACTTCCTCAATATCCATACCACCCTGGGGGCTCCCCACCATGACAGGGCCATTACAGGCGCGATCCATTAGGATGGCAAAATAAGTCTCTCTGGTTATGTCCAGGGCCTCAGCCACCATCACCTGGACATGACGGAGGGAAAAGGAAAGGTGGGATGGCAGAAGACAGCTCTGGGACCAGCCTGACTTCATGGTCATGGGCACAATGATTAAAAGCTCTCATTTTCAGACAAAGAAAAGGGTAGAGTATTCAAATGAGTATCTAGACGACTTTACATCCCATAACATTTGGGGAAGGCTAATGATCAGGAAGGAAATAAGGAGACTCCACGTGCTGACAATCTATGGACGGCAGCCCAGAGGAAACTTCACATGTAGACAAAAAATAAACAAAGGGAGGCAAATGAGGAGAAAGTGTGCGCTCAGACAGACGGACGGAAAGACGAGGGCGCAGGCAGAAAGCTCATTTAGAAAAAGGCAGGGTTGAAAAAATGGTGACGGGAAAAGCTCAGTTCTGTGGAAGTTAAGGGGGAGCATGTCTGTATGAACATGCGCAGGCCTACAGCTCGGCGTCTGTCCACTGCCCGGCCAACGAGGATGGACAGCTGTCACCACCGCCCATGTTACAAGACAGCGCCCGCATTTTCTTGTCCAAATGTTTTTTTTCTCCAGTCACTCAAACGCTCTTTTAAGATGCCTTTCATCTGGCTTGTTTTTCTCCAGCTAAACATATTCACCCCCCCCCCCTGCCTGAAGTGCAGTTTTGTCTCCTCGAGTCGAGTTCTTCATCTTCCACACTCCCCGTCTCATTTCACTACGTCTCCTCACTGACCCCGGTTACACACGCAGATTCTGGCTATCCTCGGGGTGTTGCTGGCACCCATGGGTGGGCTCCGCAGTGTGTGCGCAACTACAGAGCTCATTCATTGTCATTGGAAGCACATTGCTCAGAGTACACTGACATCGTCGCCAATCAATCAGGGAGGTCAATGACTGCTCTGGCTCAGGTCGGAATTCTGCAAATAGGCATTTTTCCTGATAGGATTAGTTCTTTATGGATATCCGTTTAAAAGGAGTCTCGCTCAACTTCGGGTTTTACCCGAGGGAATTAATTGCTTCGTTGTCTGCCCACTTTGCTTTTCAGACAGTTAATTGTGAGCCTGTTTGAATGACTTTCCCTACTGCTGCTTGCTTTGAGGCTTGAGGCTTGCTTAATTTGACCCATGGCCGTAGTAGGAATGGGGGCAGGGGCGCTGGATAGACGTAGGGGTGTGCGAGATTACACAGAGAGGAAGAACAGTGAAGAGGAGCAGTGCAGGAGAAACACACAAAAGCCACAGCCTGAGGCCCCTTCATCACCTGGAAACGGCTGTTTGGAGGAGGTACGGCGGGCAGCATGCGAGCGGAGAAAATGATATTCCTGCTTGTTAGTGGCACACAGAATCACTTGTTTACCAAACACTTTAAATTCACAGTGGGCCTGGCTCAATTTATGCAATGAGCCATGACACCAGCCAGCACAGTAAACAACGGTGGACAGCCACTATTTAAATGCAGAGAAACCATAGAGCCGGGCTCTGCCTTCACAGATATTAATTTTACAGAGCAGCGCAACTGGACTCAGAGAGCCTCGAAATGAGGTCAGACAAGAATAAAAGAAAAAAACAAAAAAAACAAAGAACGCATCACTAAAACATGCAGTCAGAGGAAAACAGATTTTCTCCTTCAACTCACTGTTTTCACTTTTACTCCGTCTTTAGGCGTTTGCTTGGTGGTCAGGTTGAAACCGAGCATCTTATTAGCCAGCTCGCCAACCACTGCAGGGCTGAAAGGGGAGAGGTTAAATGTCACCATTAGTTGTTGTTTTTTTTTGTCTCAAAAAACCACTAGAACAAACCAAGACTAAAATAATGGTATCAAGGAGCAGGCAGATCTTCTGATGACTGTTTCATCTGTTCTCAATGGCTTTGTTTGTCAGCCCCATCGCTTTCTGAGCATTACTGTAACGCGTTCTGACAACGAGCAGCGTTTGGAGACACTTTGATACGCATCAATGTGAATGAGCCTCTACCTATTCTCTCTGTTCAAAAATCCACCTGCATGCTGGAGCTCCTTCTGTAAGCCCGTTCTGGTTTAGTAAGGGAATACAAATGAAGCTGGGGGTTGCATTCGTGCTTTGATAGATGAGAGGGAGGTGAACTGCACACTCATGTCACTGTCTGAGGATGATGAACTTCACTGTATCGCACTTTGAAAAAAAGTTTCTGGCCTTTTAAACCCAGAAGTGAGCTGATGCAGAGGCATGTCTCTGCATCAAATCATGCTCATGAGTCACTTTTGAATTTTTTTGTCGCGTTAAGTCGAAGGCACGTTTACTACTAAATAAAAAAAACCTGCTGTAAGACTGTGTGGGGTGGAAAAAAAGAAGCTGTTTAAAGTTGTTAGGCCTTTTAAAAACTTCACAGGTTTTTCACAGTCCTCATTGGAGGAATGCGTGCCTCCACAGTTTGAAACAAGATTGCACTCATCAGGAGCGCAAAACAATCAACCTGAGAGGGGAAAAACAAAACTAAACAGTACGTGGTGCACAGTTTAACAGATAACATTTAATTCCCTTTTAAACATTTAATTAGGAGTAGCTGCACAAAAATAAGGCGTAGAAAAAAAACATTTATTTTCTGCACAAGAAGCCCTGGCTGAGTCTTTGCTCAGGGAGGATCTTCACAGAGCTCTTTGAGCCTCCACGCTGTTAACGCTGCTGTCACTGGGGAAAATTACTTGGATCTACCTCCTTCGGTATTTTACACTTTTGAAAATCCACATAGGGAAACACTTACTCTTTAGTTAAGTGCACTCCACCTTTAAGGCCACTGTCAAACACGCCCTTGCCTCTGCCACCTGCCAGAATCTGAGCCTTCAGCACGATTTCCCGGGCATCTGAAAAGGGAAGAGGGAGAAAGCAAATCGAGATATGGAAAATGCAGGGAAAGTTAGGCCACTTACAGTAAGAAACTGGTGCCGCTCCTTAAAAGCCCCCTTGAGACTGGCACTTATTTGTTCATATGATTGAAAGCCGAAGTGAGGAGGAAAAACATTGGGGTGGATATAATATAGAAAGGAATATGTCTAAATATCAGGTTTACACTCCCCTGCAGATCAACCACAGAGCCTACCAGTGCAAACAACATAAAGCACAGGGATTCTAAAGTCTTGATCAAGACCTCCAGTCTTTTTAAGTGCTTTTGACCTGTACTTGTGCAGCCTGTATAATGCTTTGCTTTAAGCATTGACTGTTTTTTTGTTTTTTTTACTCATTCCTCGTTAAGTCTACATGCTTTTTCATGTTTGTTAAGCCACCGGCAGAAACGTAACTCAAGGGAGGAACCAGTGATGAGTTTACACATAACAGACAATTGAACAAATAACCAACTTCCAATTACATCCGACTGCACTTGGTTACTGGCATTTTGCAGGAAAGACACGTTGTTCTCAATCTTTTTTTTTTGTGTGTGTTTTGCATCTACAAAAAACGACAAAGATAACGCAGCTTGACAGGCATGAAATAGTATTTTTGCAAGGCATACCTCTTCGTGGTGTGAAAAAAAATGAATGAATAAAATGTACAGAGGGAAGAAGAAATAACAGGGCACTCTTAAGGAAGGGAATCACTGAATAAAGGGCTGAGGTATATTAAACAAAACAATAACTGGACTATATATATATATCTTTGGACAATATTTTCAGACCATAAAATCTACAGACTGTGAGTTTTCCTGTCCTTCCTCTTGTGGTGCATCAAATAGAAAATAAGTACTTTTTTGTGAACCTAACATTCCATCTGCAGTGTTAAAACATCCCTTGTTTATATAATGTATGTGTGGGTATTCTTCCATATTATATCATATGCATACAGCACAAGAAGAAGGATAGAAAAAGAAACAGTCTGAACTCTGAAGATATTTTCCTTATTTTAATAGAAATCTTCACGTAGGACTAAAAACAAGATACACCACACTGTTGCGTTTTTGTGTTCCTTTATAACTGTTAGTGAACGATGTCAGTGATAAGACACTGCTCGACGCTTTAAATCTTTTAACGTGACCTTGCCCCAGTTATATAACCAGGCTGCATCCTCTCTGTTGTCCCTGGCACGGTGAGAGAAATAAATAAAAATCACACATGGGGAGAAGCCTTTTCAGCATCCTGCCCACAGTCTCACATCTGAATGAAGCGAGGACTCTTGATCAAGGATGGCGTCTTACTAGGTAACGATTATCTCAGTGGGGGATTTCCACCATTGACAGGTGGCTGCCGTCAGGGTGGGAAGTGAGTGGTGAGGAGAGTTGAAGGGGAAGATCTGTGTGGGTCAGAAAAACACTTTGACCTTGTTGCTGAGGACACAGGCCTCCATGTGGAGGGAGAAAAAAAGGAAAAGTCTGGTGAAAACCGTCTAAGAGCTGTTGAGCTGAGAGAGCCTAAAAAAAACGTTGTCTGCGCTCAATGCTAATGTGAAGTGAAAAGAAACCAGAGAAAATAGCCTCTGACAGGGCGACAGGGATTAAACTAACACTGCATTAGGGAGGCCCGCTCTGTGTGGGGTGGTTAAGGGCTGACGGGAGAAAAGTAGAAAATGAGAAAATAAAAGGTATCCTCATATGCAAAAGGGCTTGGAGAGGAGATATAAATGAATAAATATGTTGGTAAAAAAGTGCTACTGTGCAAAATTAACAAGTTCAAAGCAAGATGAGAAAGAGTGTCCTGAGGGCATGTGCAGTAGAAAAAGGACAGCGGGGAGGAAATGACTTCTTTTTTTTAAAAGAAAGAGAAGAAGAAAAGAAACAAGTGGCAGAACAAAGCTGCGGCCCAACAGGGAGATGGCATTGTTGAGATGGGAAGCGATTTGACACTCTGATAAAAGCACTATAGAAACAAAAACAGGGTTTTTGAAGCAAAGGCAAATTGAAAATATTAAAAAGCACGCGAGGGGCTAATGGAGTGAGAACAAAGCAGGTGTTCTTTCCTGCTGCACTATTATTTGACGGCGAACTTGCTTATTTCATGACTCACCACGACACATTGTAGCGATATCAGCAATTACGGGTGGGAACTAGAAGACAATTGTAGCCATAATTAACGGAAAACATAGGAGAAGACGCAGGCGAAATACGCTCAATATCTTCAACAAAAAGAAAGAAAGACATCTTCTGGTTTGGACGGAAACAGATGGAACAGATAATGATGTCCTTGAAAGATCAGAGTGAACATGGTACATGGTAAAGAGCAAGGCCACCATTATCTGGTCATGTGACAGGCATTGTATGGCCTCCAACGCTCAGGCAAAGGTTGGTCCCTAATGAGCACGGTGCACAGAAAGGAGAGTCAAAATGTAAAATCAGAAGCGAGGCTTGCTTTTTATGTTTGACCCAGACATCGCGAAGTACCAGAGGAGAGAAGGTCACGTTCCTGGATTTAATAAGTGAAGACGCCGGCAAGTGTTGTCGAAGACTCGGAGCTCAGGGTGTTTATGCGCCGGAAAGAGGCGGTGTTAAAAGCGTAAACTATGAGGTCGGGGCTAATGAAGGGTGACGCACAATTGTGCCGATGTTCTCCGAGATGGCAACGTGTTGTTCACTCGGCCTGAGATGCCTCCTCCTCACACGTGTATTTGTATTTCTGAGTGGACAGTACAACAGAGATATTCCGGATGAATTAAACTGATGCTGCCACAATTATTCCCCAACATCTTCCAGAGAAAGTGGTCTGGTTATCAGCTGAGTGAGAACCTGAGGGGGGGGGGGGGGGGGGGGGGGGGGGGGGTGTGTTGCATAATCGGTTCTCCCCTTCCATTTGTATCATACATGGCCCACTGTGAAGATGTAGAACAAGATTTTCAAATCCATTTATTTTCCATTTCATTGGGGACACAGGGGAAGAGATTAAACATCGCACAACATCTCCAATCACATCACATGCATTCGGAATAATGCGGTCATCATCCTCAGGCCTTACTCGTTTCCCAGTAATGAGTGCAAATCAACTCACAGTCTGCTCGCCTGTGACAGTAGCTGGCAGAGAGGATGTTACTTCTACAATAAGTCTTTCCCTCTTCCTCTACATTCAGTCCACTGTTCAAAGACCTATCCCCCCCACCCCCACCCCCTCCTCACTTTCCATGTAGCTCATGGGAAGCCAGCAGCACAGTTAGCTTTGGTCCGATATTTAATTAAGCCTTCGAGGCTGTGCCATGAGGGGGATGCTGGCTGGTAAGGGACAAATGTAGGCTACTTGCCAGTCCGGAGAGAGAAGGATGAAGCTACCATCTGCAAGGAGAGGGAACAAGATGAGGGTGGGTGCCTCACAGCATCCATGTGTGCCATAATTAAAGTAATGTGGTGGATAAACGGAGAAGACTAATCAAACTCTTGGGGGGGAAAAAAAGGGGTGGAGAACAAACACACACAGACATTGTGAGGCTTCTCGTGGATAAAAGGCCTTTACACCAGCGGAATGAAAAGGCAATTTCCATCCCTCAGCTCTCGTGCTCATCGTAACAGAAACCTTAATACAGCCGATTGCTGTCAGAAAATGAAAAATCTGTCATGAGAAATGAAAGAGGACTTAAAAATGTATCTTTCAAAACTATTAATATGAGCACTGTGGGGGGCAATTACGTTTTCCCCAATTGATGATGGAGACGTTTGTAGAAAACCTCAAGTCGCCTCTTTTTAGTGGTTTGTGGCATGTCTAAATAAATTCAATCACGATGCCAAAAGTCCCCTGAGAAGAGTAGGTTTTTCACTCATTTGCCATGTGACTCCTTAGTGCAGCACTAACAGACACACAACGGAACCCCGCCTTATGAAAAAGGATATGCAATCCATTAGGACATAGTGAATAAAAAAAAAGGATCATCCGGGGTCTCGTAAATAAAAGTTGCCTAGGACAAAACTGGACCTGAAAGTTGTGTATATCACTTTCCACGCAAAGGTTGTGATTTACATAAGAAAAATTTGAAAGGAAAATGTGCGTCCCCTCCCGCCGTTGGACCCATGCGTACGCTCGTTTTGGAGACAGATGGTGAGGTGGGGAGCTGAAGCCACAAAGCCCCATCATTCCTCTCAGATATTCATGTTCACTCCATAGCAAACTTTAATCATGGACTTCATCATAAGCATTCAAAGAGCACTATAATTTATGCTTGTACTGGTGAGCCAAAATAATACATTAGAATCGTTTTAAAATTTGAAAAAAGGGCAATAAAAACTTAAACATTAAGTCCAAATCTTGTCACCAAAGTATTTTTACTATCACATTCCTCTCCCCGATGATCACCGGGCAACGGATGCTTTGGCAGTGCTGGAAGACCTTGCAAATGGGAGAATCAGGAAGGAACTCATTTTAAGGCATTATTACGGTATCACTGAGATTTCCTGGCCCACGATGAATACTGGCAAAGTCTTACCAGCACTAATAAGCACACCCATAGCCTATAACAACCAATCAACTCTCTGCCTGAAGCCACTTTTAGGAAAAACATCATTCTTGAAAAATAAACCACTGGCTTCCGATATGGAAGCCGTCGCTAAGCGCAATCGTGCTTAGCAAAGTGACGTGCCACTTCTGTGGCTACCAAACAAGATATTTATTCGAATATTCACCTCGCTCACCATCACATTCCTTTCTGCCTCGGTTAAAATTGCGTTTCTCTGCTCTTAGTTTCCATGGTTGCCTTTGTTAACATTGATCGACTGGCTCATTTAAATACACTGACATTCACGAGGTGCTTTGCATCGACCACTTATGGTTAAATGTGGGCGTTTAGAGGGCGGATCACGGGGCGGGACCAGCTGTGATTTATAAAAAAGGGGAAATCGAGTGCTGGTGTACACACACTGGATGTTTTTGGGCATCCTTACACTTTTTTAATATAGATCCTA